ATGTAGATTTGTGTTCATGACGTTTTAGATGTGAAATGTCGGACATCCTCATGGATAACATTCATATAAACCTGAAGGGTGAAACATTCAGTCTAGAAGCAATCATCGCATGGATACCAACGGTGTCCGCTCCTTGAGAACCTGTTTCCTTCGACTTAGGAATCAGAATGTAAAACTTTAAGGGTAAACCATTCAGTCCAGAAACAATCATCCCATGGCTACCAACGGTGTCTGCTCCTTGAGAATATGTTTCCTTCGACATAGGAATCAGAATGTAAAACTTGAAGCGTAAACCATTTAGTCTAGAAGCAATCATCCCATGGCTACCAACGGTGTCTGCTCCTTGCGAACATAAACATAGGACTCAGAATATCAAAACAGTAATATGGCCAAGATGTCTAACTTCAACTTCGCATATAACGAAATCTAATTCATTGATTTTCCAGCCTGAACCTGAAATAAATTAGACTAGGGAGACAGCCTCATTTGTTTCATATGACGATTTATCTGAAGATTCAGGATTAAAAAACAACAACTTTAACAAGTCAATAAACATTTAATGTCGAACAATATTCTAGCTGAGTTAGAGACGAACATGCTCTCTTTACTAATATTTCAAAGATATTACATAGGGCTCTGAAGTTCTATAAATAACAAACATAAACAGGAGATTGAAACCTTGGGAAGTCACCCCAACCGGAAAGTAGAAGGTCGGTAATGTCACATTTTGTGTTTGAAAGTAATATTTATCAATTGTATTGTATTTCCGTGGTGAAGCACTATGAAACTGACATAAAAGGAACTATTACAAACAGACACAAGTACATGCATATTGCTACATGTATGAAATACCCTTAAACCACAGTTCACTTCACACAGTGACTTACTTGCACAAGGCGGGTTAGCACTTGATAAGCATAATTTCCAATTAAATCTATTTTGCCTGTGGGGGAATACTTTCTGGTAGTCCATGAAAGAGTCATAGAGACGTTGGGGTAGGTCAAGTCATGTCGGGTCGCAGTACTTCCTCGTTGTTGTGTTTTATATTTGTGATGAGGAAAAACAACATAATAATTTTGAATTATAATGCGCCTTTTCCATGTACAAGGCACATGCTCAGATTGCTAAAACACAATCTGATTATTATTAGCCCGGATAACCCAAGCTGCCTGAGGGGCGCTAGAAGGTTAATAGTCACAATACTTATCCCACCGGGTACCCATTTTCTGGTGGATGAACAGAGGCAAGTTTGAACAAACTCACTTGCCTAGGGTGAGACACACATACATATTTATGATAACGGTCTGCATGGTTTTGTATAGAGACTCGACCGATATAAAAGTAAAAGTCATCATTCTGTCCTATATGTTGTGACAAAAAAGTACATCTGTTATATTTCTATTTTCTCTCTGTTCACACATACAATACAAGCGTAGGACCGGCAAATGGTTGGTTATTGTTCAAATAGAACAGCGTTGGATATTATGGATCAAATCCTAGATACACTGTGTGTAAAACGGAGTAAGTGAATTCGATAAAATATATTTCAAGCGAGGTGTTTAGTGAAACATAAGATATTGTTTGCAGAGTATCCTTATATTTCCATATGCAATCAAACACAATAAACTAATAACTGGTAACCTAACTTTATGAAAGTGAAAATATAAAGATTCGTCATTTAGATTATCAAGCATTACCAGACAACAAATGAAAATGTTTAACAGGAAAGATGCTTTGAATATGTTCGTTGCAATGTCTCATTGTTAATAAGATGATACAATATGTTTAATTTCCTCGTGTGTACTCAACATTATGCCTGTGTGAATGAGAAACCTTTCATGTGGTAGTCAAGGTGTCAAGGTGCCCTTGCATTAATGATAACTGAGTATGACACATGTATAGGCCAAACAGATTATATGTATTTGCACAGACCGTCGAAGATATATTTTGATGTATGAAATCTCAATTCTGTTTCGCCACCTAAATGTACACAAGACATATTGCAAAACCATTGAAGCAGACAAAAGATCATAATTACAGTTAGTCAAGTCGCATTATGTCCAGTTTTTCACGTTTTGTCCCTTCCAGTATTCCATAGATTTCTGATCGCTTTGGCGACATAATTGACTGAGTGCAGGTGCAGAAAACCGCCACAAAACATGACCACGTGACAGAATTTATTAGCATACTGTATTCAATTTGTAAGATTTATATTTCATGCTATTGAAAACATAATCGTGGCAAGTCGTCCGATGTCCAGGAGTGAGTAAAGCCAGTATCTGATAAAAGTTCATATTCTGAAACCACCACCGGTGTCCCGCAAGGTCGTGCACTTAGTCTTATTATTTATTCCTTTTTACATAGTTCCAATATCATAATGCCAACGTGATTCTCGTGGAATTATTGTATCTAAAAACAATTACTATACTTTGCTAATGATATTTTTACGTTTGAACTGTTTCTAACGTGACGATGTTTTGCAGACAGCCGCCATATACAGTAGTTACACATGTAGTACGTAAGGAGCGCGTTATAGATATGTTTGACCCATGATGTGTTCCTATCTCAAATCAAAACCTGTGACGAGGAAGTTGTTACCGTTTCGAAAGAAGATCAACTTAACTTCCCTTTGAGCTACAGCACTGGGGAAACGCTACTAGCACACGGGTCGCCACAAGGAGCCTACATGTGAAAACAACGGGGTGAGTTTAATTATGTATACATTCGGGATTGTTGTTTTGTGGGTAATAAACTATATGATTGTGTTCAGTTCATTTCAAATAATGGGTGTCCTTGGGACACCGCTATCGCATAATATGTACTTGTCACGTGTATGAGGCTGTACTCTAGCATAGTAGGACCTAATCGTTCGTTAATCACTGTGGCACATGCAGAATATTTTGACTGACGAATATGGTCTGTTCAACAGACAACATTGTAAAGTCCTTATCTGAATGTATCTTTCTCATTTTGTAATTCTCTGCCGTGTTTATTATTCGTTATGGCAAATGTATACACACCAACAGTGGTATTAAATAGTTTAGAGACATTGAACATTTGTAGACATTGAACCAAGTTACAATAATAGTTAAACATTCATACAGCGGTGCGGGCGGTGGGGTAGCCTAACCTAGCCCGTTTCTGGTGTCCCCTGGCGTGATACTGCTGGCATATTGCTAAAAGCGGCGTAAAACCCAACTGACTCGCTCACTCATTCACATTAGTTCAGGCTAAAAGGGTTTAAAGTACACGGTGGTAGTGGATTTGCTTAATAGAGAGATAATGTAGGGTTTGTGAATTACAGCTCTGCTCCTTAACGGATAGACCTACGCCATTGGAGGGAAATATGTTTGTCAAGGCACAATTTGTGAGAGTAAAGAAAGCTTGTTGTCCTATGGTACTGCCTGTGTTCAGGTTGAAGTGAAGTGCACATCGGCTACCAGTCACACTGAGCTATTGGATGATGATTTTCGCCCAAAGCAAAGGAAAGCCTGCAGGAAAGGTGAATTCTCCAATTTGTTCAGGGAGAGGCAGTTATGGGTCATATCGATAAGTTACCGTTCCCAAGTGTTGACTTGATTGACCATTTTGTTAGCACTATGTCCGCTGATCCACTAGAGGTTTCAAATTGTCCCGTAGAGAAAAAATCAGAGGTTGAATGAAAACTTTCTGATCAGTGTCATGACCAGGGTCTCCTGTCACAAAGCACTAAGGTGATCGTAAGTCACTAAGGTATCCTTAGTGCAGTGTTAAAGAATGGGAGTTAAGGTTAACCTTAGTAAAAGGTTGCTTCAAGAAAGGAGCCCTTGGTCGATGGCAAGGTAGGTTTAGCTTAGGATAACCCAGGTTGAATTGTCAGGCACTTGCAAATGTGTGTCTGGAATGCTTGGCACGTCGTTGCGATTGGAGATAGCTCTGCATCTATAGGTGATAAGGTAGACAATGAACGTTTCCGGGCTTTGGCAGGAAGGGTACCTCAATCGGTCGGGAACAATGACGCTTCCGAGTCTCATAAGTTGTCAAGTAAGTTTAGATCAGAAGAGTTTGTTTCGTAAATTGTAATGTATTTCGAGGAAAGATTCGGCGGGTTCGGGGAATAAAAAAGTATACGGCAAGAGTGAATGTATCAGTTTATAATGAACATGGCCAGGGAGTCCTAGATGAGTTAGATAACAGATTCCAGTATTTTGTGACACCGAGAGGCTGCTGAAGGTATGCAGTCACTTATGCCATGCTAAGACTTACCATTTCATTTTAGCAGATTCCGTTTTGCCGTGGATGTAACATAATTCTGAAGAATGTCACAACACGGAGTAAATTCAACCGAAAAATATGTGAATACAGATGTCTTGATGCAATAGTTACAACGCTAGCTCTTTTCAGTTCATTTTTACACAGCAGCTTAAGCACTAAAACTATTTTAAGTCTTTGATGAAGTTGTATCAGCAGTCATGATTGTTTTGGATCCATGTCACTGTTGTTTCAGATTTAGAGGTCAGAATGAGTTCAAGCAGATAATGTTATGTGTCACATTACATCTACAGTTTTGTTTTCATTTTAACGTAGGAAAACATCTCTAACCGACGATGCTGCTGCCCTTCAATGATGCTGTGTGGATACGGATGCTTCTTGCCAGTGTTGTTGTGGTTGATATGGTATTCAATCAACACCCATGTGTACCTTGCAAGTGTATGGTCAATGGAACTGCGGACTGCAGGAACAACGGCCTGGATCGGATACCAACTTCCCTTCCAAATTATACCCAAGAGTTGCTATTCAGTGGAAACAAGCTGACCAAAGTCTACAATGATTCCTTTGTACATCTAACTTTACTGATGCTTTTAGATTTGACAAATAACAGTGTAAACCTCATCGAAACGGCAGCATTTGGCTTGTTGCCAAACCTACGGAAGCTGTCATTAGAGGGAAATAACTTAACATACAAGGCTTTTTCCCCTCATTATTTCAGAAGTTGCCAAACCTTAAAATCCTTATCATAAATAACAACATTGTCACAGATGATCCTACAGTGGAATACCCAAGTGATGCCTTAGAAAACCTAGTATCTCTTACCACTTTATATATTGATGGTTTAAGGAATAAAACATTTGGATCGGGGTTTTTGAAACTAAAATATTTAACAAAACTGACAATCCAGAGTAGAGGAAACAAGTGTGACATGAGTGTTGTAACAGAGGATACGTTAAAATACTTACCATATCTTGAACATGTAAAGATTATTAATTGTCATCTTCACTATATTGCAAAAGGATCTTTTGCTCATCAAGACAATCTCAAAACTTTAGATCTTTCGTCTAATCATGAGCTAACCTTCAAAGGTGTTACAAATGCTACGTATGGAATATCTTCATCGCTTGAAGGGTTATTCATTAATGCAATAGTAAGTCCATTTGCGGTTTGTGTTGTCATTGAAAAGCCGTTTTGTGAAAACCTTCAAAATACCAGTCTCACTGAACTGCATGCGAATAGTAACAGGGTGACAATCTTTCAGGAAGGCGCTCTGAGTCTTTTCCCCAAATCACTGAAATACGTATATATGAAAGGGAGCAGATTTCACTATGGTCCTTACATTGGAGACATTTCATCTTTGGTAGGTTTAGAAGTGGTCAATATTAGAGGTTATGGCAACAGAAGAATGCCGTTTCCGTCATTGAATGATTTCAGACACATGTTTTTTCTTTCGAAACGCCTTAGTTCTGTATACTTTGATGGTGACTATTCACCCCATCCTCCTTTTATTATTCATCTACCCCCTAATCTAAAGAAGGTAGATTTTTCTGTGTCACAAATGTACTTTCATATCACAAGATTTCAAGTTTATAAGAACAACATTACTGAAATTGATGCTTCACGGAACCTGTTTACGATGTGGATTGGCAATGTTATTGGATTTGAAAAACTTGAAACCTTAAATCTATCAGATAACATTGCGAATTTTGCCACTTCGCAATTTTTCGGGTCTTTCAAGAACCTTAAACATTTGGACATTTCCAACAATCTTTTGGGAACTGTTCTGGGGAATATCTCCAACGGTAACATGTTCAGTGCTCTAAGCAAACTTCAAACGTTGGACCTATCAGCAAACTACATAAATAACTACTCATACGCTCTTTTTTCGAACCTATCATCACTGAGAGTGCTAAACATTTCTAAGAATACGATATATGCCTTACACTTTGATATAATACACATGAAGAACTTAAGTGTTTTACAGTGTTCAGGGAACCAAATACACTGGTTAACTAAAACGTTTACAACCAGTCTTGACAAACTCTCGGATGATCATAATATAACGGTAGACCTATCTGGAAACCCCATCTATTGCAATTGCATAAACATTTGGTTTCTGTCATGGATGATGAAAGCTAAAGCTAAAGGCGCCATTTTCTTTGGAAATCTTTCAGATTATGTATGCATTTATGATGATGGACATTCCGTGGAACTTGATAACTTGGAAAAGGTTGTTGCAGATTTAACATCCTGGTGTCAACATGTCTCTGTGCATTTTGGGTTGTTCGTTGGAATATCTTTAGTGGTCCTTGTTACTTTTAGTGTGCTTATTTGTTCTCTACTGTATCGATTTCGTTGGAAATTGAAATATGTTTATTATGCAGCACGTCACAGATACAGTACGACACACTCATTCAACCACACGTTCGTCTACGATGCCTTTGTTTCCTTCGCAGAAGAAGATCGTGACTTTGTTGTTAATGAGCTCCTGGTGAAGTTAGAGGAAGAGTCAGACATGAGACTGAACTTCCATCAGCGGGACTTCACCGCTGGTCGCCCAATAGCTCACAATGTCATTGAAGCTGTTAAAACTAGTAGAAGAACACTGGTTATCTTGTCCAGTCATTTCTTAAAGAGCTCCTGGTGTGTCCACGAGCTTCAGATGGCTCACATGGAGAGTGTGTCTACTGGTAGGGACGTGTTGCTGATTATTATGATGGAGCACATTCCAACCAACCAAATCCCAGTGGAAATATTGTATCATATACAATCGGATTCTTATTTGGAATATCCACTGGAAGGAGAGAAGGTGATGTTCTGGAGAAATCTTATTGGAAGTCTGAAAGAATAAACAACACGATGACACACCTTAGACTTGGACATGCATAGAACTTACTGAAACGTACCAGCATGTATCCCCGACAAGGTACATAAAATACAATGGAAAATGTAATACTTTGAGCAGCTGCAAGATATTATGAAATGAATCGTTTAACCAGTTGTACCGTTACAGCTCAAGCACGTCACCTAAATCAGCAAAGAGAGATTGATGTTGATTCAAATGTATCCACAGATGAACAGAATGAACACGATCAACGAATGTAAAGCAGATTTACGATGTTTCATTCTCGATGCATTTATATCATATAAGTTGCACTTCCCTCTGTTAACGTTTAGATCAAATTATTTCGAATTGCATGTATATTATGGCTTCATTTTGTGTTGCTTAAGTTGCTTAAGTTCTCATTGTAACTTCTTATGTGTACATCAATGTTGCATATATTGTACTTCTACATGTGAAATGGGCTGTAGATACTTGTAAGATTAAACTGTTGGACCTGAACGACATGTTATTATTATGTTTGGGACTTAAGAGGAAACACGAAGTCGAACTGTTGGTGACACATGTTGTGTAGGCCATCATTATTTCAGTCAAAGTTTATTAATCAGAAGCAGATGCATGTATTTATTTAGAATCTTTGAAAAACCCGAACTAAATAATAGTTGATGGTTTCTCTTACACCTGACTAAGAATCATCCTCGTTGTCGTCGGCAGTTATCCACTGGTGTTACAGGTTTCATTTGAAAGGTGAGTGAGTGAGTGAGTGAGTTACTCCAACAATCTAGGAGACACCAGAACTATATATAGGCTTGACAGAATGTACCCATGTGAGGAATCGAACCCGGGTCATTTGAGTGACGAGGGTACACGTCAACCAATAGGCTAGCTTACGGCGCCTGTCATCTGAAGAGGTACGTGAAAATATGGTTGAAGTTACTTCAGGAGCAATTTTTCTTCATGTGGGTACATGTAACTATGAGGAAAACTTCATGGAGTCCGAAACTTGTTTCTGTTCATGTCCTGAACTAACTCATGTCCTGATCATATCACATCCTTGTTTCAAAGTATTTCAAGGTGATGTCACTGTCAACAGAATGCATTCATTCAGCATTGACCTGATGAAAGAGCAAGGAGTGCATTTTAACGTTGTGACAAAGCATGAAAGAAGTTGTTATCCATGATTCGTGTCATCTGTTCATGATTTTCAGAGTTCTAAATGCTTGTCAAATACTTTAAGGTGACCAATGTTGTAACATGCGTAGCTTGCACATAGAGATTAACCAAGTAACAGTATTACTGATCCATATCAACATGATTGCACACCGGGGTGGTGAGGTAGCCTAGTGGTTAAAGCGCCCGCTCGTCACCCTGAAGACCCGGGTTCGATTCCCCAAATAGGTACAATGTGTGAATCCCAGTCCTGGTGTCCCCCAGCGTGATATAGCTGGTATATTTCTAAAGGCGGCATAGAACCATACTCACTCTCTGAGTTGGGAATCGAATCTGGGTCTTCTGAGTGACGAGAGGGCGCTTCAACCACTACGCTACCTCTCAGATGAACTCTAACAATATTAGGCCTACAACATCTCATCTCCTCAAGAATAATCCTTGTCGCTACGAACGAGCGGTTTAACCAATAGCCTACCCCTTGCCTTAAGAGCAGTTCATATAGACAACAATATTATTGTATTTAATAAGTTTTAAATGTCACTTTCAAAGGGATGCATGTTGTATGTCGGTAGTATAATGTCATGCGTACAATAGGTGTGAAGATGAAAAGATGCCAAATATGAATCCCATACTGAAGCTGAATGAATAGTTTATACATATGAAGATGTGACTACCTAACTCAAATCGCATACAAGACACTTTCTCACGAACGTATTCCAGTGCAAAGATAGTCATTTCATACATAAACCTATGCCACTTATCACATGCATTAATTTCGAATTTCACATATATAATTCATGTAACGACCACAGTTAAGGATATTGGCGAGTTATTGCTTTGTTTGCTTGTTGTTTATCGCCGAACTATAAAGCTATGATCGAGGCTGGACCAGACAATCCAGACATTTGTGACAATCCAGACATTCGCCGACCAAGCCAGCGAGCCTGACCACCCGATCCCGTTAGTTGTCTCTTACGGCAAGCATGGGTTACTGCAGACGAATTCTAACCCGGACCTTCATGGGTATGTATTTTGTTATGAATGTTTATGCACATGTATGAATATCATCAATTAATCTGTTTTTTGTGACCATGCACATAATAAAATGAACGTTCACCAAGACAATGCAACTAAAAAAATCAATATGAGTTTATATATTATCACGGACATGCAAGTGTAAATATGAAGAGGTACTTTGAAATCTGTGCAAACTTTAGGCAATGTGCAAAGGATGGTTTGGGTAGGGTGTGCTGGTACAACGGTTCTATTACACCGTGCATGATGCACACCGCCGAGGTATGTGGTCTGTAAGCCCCCTCACAAACACGTATATTCCCAATGATAAAGGGTGGTAGGGTAGCCTAGTGCTTAGCGTTCGACTGTCACACTGAAGACCCGGGTTCAATTCCCAACGTTGGTACAATGCGTGAAGGTAATTTCTGGTGTCCCCCGCCGTCATATTGCTGGATTATTGCAAAAAGCGGCGTGAAACTAAACTCGTTCACTCACTCAGTGATAAAGACAGGTCTTTGTCGTGTTGTTGCCTTTGGTTAACCAAGCCAAAACAGCTACACAATCCACGCTTTGTTGAAATAGAGAAGTGTTATTGTAACTCCACAAATGTCACGTTGTCGCATTGCCGAACTTTGGTTCAGTTTGTCACTTCTGGTGACGTTTATCAGGATTCCATACATTTCTGATCCATAACAGTTGATCACTGGAATGTCTGGTCCAGGCTGGATTATTTACAGACCGCCGTCGTACAGTTGGAATATTACTGAGTGCGGCGTTAAACAACGAACAAACAAATATACATATGTAACGGGAAGATCAATTGTATTGCCCCGACAACAGAATATGTTTAGACATCAAAGGCAAACCCTTTCAAGACTTGATCACGCCAAGTCACTAATTAGCACAATGCATGCAGTATTTACATTTCCTGGTACGGAAACCATCCAAGAAATTGATAGCCATGCCTTGTTAGTGACAATCAATACTGCTTTACACGTATGATTACGAGAAAATGTGACTTCAACATTCTCAAATGTAATGTAATGTCAGTGCTGGGAATATTTGAAAACTCGAACATATGTCGAGACATCCACAATTCTTACTTAGACGTACGCGCTGGTTATGTGTGACAATGGACTGAGTTAATTTAAGAAAGTATAGAAAACCACAAATTTCGTGAAACCCAAACAAACCACCGAGTTTAGGAAATAACTATAATCATAATGTTTAAAATACAAATACTCTTGTGTCCATGTTGAAGAGATTTAAGTAAACACTTTGAATTATCCGAGTTTCCACATGTAACAAGTACAAAACAAGTGTGTAACAAATAAAGTGTGTAACAAGTACAAAATATACAAATTGTAAAATGTTCCGGAAAGGCAATCTATTTTAATATGTTTTGTTTTATGTTCCTGTTTGGAATCAATTTATAACACCTTACACAATACAACTGTCAGTGAAAAGGTTTACATTTTCACAAGTCCATGATTTGTTTATAGTCACCACTGGGTCATGGGTCGAGTAGTACTTCCTATGCAAATTAGCCAAATCTTAATGAGGTCGGGTCTGCTGTCTTGTCCTTAGTTTTCATTGGTTGAAGATGTGCAGCATCTTGATTGGATGTTGAATTTAGTTGCATTTGGAAAGTGTGAAGTTAGTTCATTTACTGTCTTTTTCCCAACCTGGCAAGGTGGTGGGAAAGTTATGGATGGAGGATTGTGATTTTGGTGAATTACAGGTTAGTTCCACTTGGTTTTATATAAAAGGAATAAAATACAAAAATATGTTAAATTGTTGAAAGGTTAATTCAGTATTTATTGTTGCTGAATTTATGTATTTGGTGGAGGTATACTTTTACTTGTGGTTAGAAGTTGTTGGTGTCAATAATTTCACTTTCAATTGATTCAGATTTATGTTTGAGTCCAAACAGATTGTACGTTTACTTCACTGGTGAGAATTAGGATTCCCATGCTAAGTTAGGCATACATATTTTAGGTCCTTGGCTGGTGATTTGTTGGTGCCTCACAACATGTGGCCAGTTTGAAACAAGGTGTCCCATAGATGGTAAGACACGTTGATGTTTCTTTATGTTCAGTGGTAGTACTGCAAGTGTTATCATCTGAACAATGTGCAATGAAATGAATGTGATGGAATAGATATTTTGATGGAGAATTATATATTCATATACATTGTTTCAGACTTGTATTTATACAAACTACAGTAATAAACCGGAACTACAAGCATCCCCGTTAAAGACACAGCCGAAAAATAGATTACAAAGGGACCAGGGTTTTACTACGACACAACCGTAATTGTACACAGGTCGTACTCACTCCAGATTATGACCACATGATATTATTGAAGTGAGGGAGTTTAGTTTTAAGCCGCACTCAGCAATATTCCAGGTATATGACGGTGGTCTGTAAATAATCGAATCTAGAACAGACAGTCCAGTGATCAACAGCATGAGCATCGTACTACGCAATGATGACATGTTACTACCAAGTCAGCGAGCCTGACCACCCGATCCCGTAAGTCGCCTTTTAGGACAAGCATGGGAGGCTGAAGATCAATTCATACCTGAATCTTCACGGGTTATTCTTGAAGTAAGCATTACTGAAGGTATGTCACATTCAGCCACACTGTATAGTCATCGCACGTACACCTACCAGATAGATATACATAGAGAAATATTTGGCTCCTTGGGGGAGGTCTTCTCTGTTTCATTGTAAGTTTGGCTGAAGGGATGCTGTAAATCTAGCAAGGGGCCATGCAGGTAGCAAAAGTACTGTACGTCCCCATGGTCCCTAGTATGGTGATCT